CTTGTATTATTGTTGTACCTTCAGCTTTATTGAAAGCATCGGGACGATGCCTTTTTCAGAGGGGGGCAATACCACGTTCCATTTTTCAAGTTTTGTTATCGCCCCAAACACTACACAATTCTGCCAAACGCGCGTGCAGTTTTCGAGAAGCTTCCGGACTTTAGTAGATCATTTCGGTAAGATCACGCCCTTTCTGCGAACTGTACAGATTATTCTGGAACCTACGCCATCGCCAGCGATAACGATAGAACATTCGATGGCAACAGTGAAAGGCCGACGCACTTCGCCGCTTGTGATGGTTGATCGACGGCCGACGCTCCGTTCGTTGCTATCGGTCCAAGACTGCTACTGTAATCGGACTTTCCGTTTACCGGGCACAGGGTCGGCCAAATAAACAGTTAAATTCCAACACAACATTCCCTGTCTTCGGCCACGTCACGACCCCGTGACAATATCCACGGAGTGAATGATGGAGAGCGGGACAAAGCATTCGTCCGTCCATTCGTTCTCGCTTCCGTCCGTCCACGTGTCCGTCTGTGAGACCGTCCATGCGTCCATCCGCCCGTCCATGCGTGCGTCTGTTCGTGCGTCAGTCCCTGCATTCGTCCATGCATTCGCCCCTGCGTCCGTTCATGCGTCCATCCATAAATCTGTCTGTGTGTCCGGTCGTCCATCTATTCAACACTCCAAGTACCACTTTTCATCATATATTTTCGATATAGAATCACCGCCATCCAGCGGACATTTCAAGGACTAAACAAGAGGTGGCACACGCACACTTTCTTACGGCTTGCGTTTCGGGTCTACTACCCACCTTTAAGCACCTCGAGTTCATTCATGGTATATACTTGTTCATTGCATTCATGGCACTGCAGCTCAACGCTCGCTAAACCTTTCTAAAACCAAGGAGGTTGCGCCCAGCGAGTATAATGTAGCAACCATTTCTTGTCAGATATTGCTCAATGTACACGCCAATGGCTGCTAGTGGGGATTGAAGCCTTCGCGTAAACTAAAAGCCGAATGCTCCTGTCTCTCATTCCCCATTAGCAGCCATTGATATGTACATATAGCGCTATTTTTTATTGTTCAACAACGCACAGAATAAGTTTCTCACCGGCACCACCTTGGAGGTCAAAATGTTATACTTGTTACATACTACAGCGGCTACGAGGGACGATTGGGTGCCGCTATGAAAAGCTTCGCCCCTTAAAGTGGCTCCGCAGGTGAGCAGCACTGTTTCACGGTGGTTCGGAGCCTATATATATTCTGGATAGTCATCACTGTATGTTGATATCACTGTTCCCACGTGCTTGTATAACGTCACTCCAGAGTGAACTAAACACATCTAAAGTGGAGCGAACGGGAAAGTACAGGTCTGCCATTTGGCGCTTAAAGAAATTACAGCATATCAACGGAGTGAAGAATGATGAGTAAGGGGAAGCGTCCCTCAGTCCGCCTGTACTTCCGTCCGTCCGTTATTGCTTCCGTTCATGCGTCCGTCCATCCGTCTGCCGCCCATGCATCCATCCGTGCGGTTGTCCGCGCGTTCATTCGTGTATCCGTCCGTCCACCCGTGTGTTCGTTCATGCATGTGTCCGTCCGTGCGTCCGTCCGTGCGTCAAACATCCAGGCAGACAGACGATGGACGGATGCGGCCAGCGATTGAATCACTGTTTGCCGATAAAACCCTCCGAAGCGTCGCCCCGTTCTTCATCATTCACTCCGTGGATACGCTATGATGGGGTTACTACAAATACATAAATGCATGCGTACACGGAACGACCCACCCACGCCGTGAAGACCTTCGCCTCTATCATGCAGGTATAGCGTCTCTGCTAACTATCCTACGGGCACCTACGCTATCACATCTGTTGCTGCATGCGACTCTGTGCGATTCATGGTGTCGTTGTTCTAGTATTGCACTACACAGTTTTAGTTGAGCGTCCGTGGCAGCTATGTGGACGCAGTCATTGCAGGCTGCGTCCGCATGCAGAGCCGCTGCGGATTACCAACCATAAGAGTGAACACGCATGAAAAGGCCGCTCACCAGGTTTGACCTTGTCGAGCTGACGAGAACAATGCATACTGGGCGTTCGTGATCTGCATTTTCGAAATGCGGAAGGAGCCCGCCGTGGAAATAGGTGAAATGGCAAGCTGAACACCGCTTGTCCTTAATCTCGCGTGCTCGCACCCAGATAATGAGGAGATCACGAACACGGCAGAGTTACCTACTTCGACAATATACTGCTGTGACGTCGGTTCTATACGTAGACGACTGTGCTGTGATGTCGCCGACAGTAGCGCGTGACACTGCGAACATCATTTGACTCACTATTTTAAGTTTGGATAGTTTGTTGCTTGAAGAGATGAATAAAGGTCACGTAGTGGGTACATAGCAAGTTCAAAGAGATTTCATGCACTAAGTGTTTTTTAAGTACGCACTAAGGACAGAACTTTGTTATAGCGTTCAGCTCTTAAAGGCGAAGCTTCGCTTTTCAGGAATACAATTTGCCTAGGAGGAAACCCACACGCAGCTCTCCCATAGTAAAGTACCAAGTACTAACCCAAGTGTGAATCATGTGCGAGCAAACTGCGGGCACTTCGGCTGTATATATGTACGTATCCACCTATCTAGCCGCCTAGGATTGGGTGCTCTCGCTGTCGTCTCCCTTACTTGCTGTAGACAAAGATTGGCATAAAATGACGTTGGTGAATGAAGAACACGATAAACATGTCATTACAAACGGTAAATATTTGTCGCGTACGTGATGAAACCATTTTATTCAGTCACATGTGGCACATACCCGCTTGCCAAGGAATGATAAGCAGGTATGAGCAACTGTCGCTTATACCTGCTTTGTATCAGGTATGAGTAACAGTGACCTGTTGTATCAAACCGGAAACGGTGATCTCTGGCTTTGAAAAGGTTTTACGTATTGGTGGTATAGAGCTTGTATCACAGGCGGAGCAGGTGTTGGTGGCATTGTCTCTGTATTAAAAACTGGAGGAATGGAAAGATTGAAAATCCTGGTGAGAGCCAGAATCGAGAGCCCAGGCGTCACTCACTCACTCACACACTCAATCAATGAATCAAATAATCAATCAATAATATACCATCATCTTCATGAAAATAAGAAAATACAAGGATTGTGGGGCCGATAGCCTCAGGTAGCTAGTAGCTGGTTCAATACAATGTGCAGCAAAGAACTTGGAGGTCAGCTTTGAGGGAAGAAACAAAAATAATTAGATAAATACAGACAATACATGTACACATTTTTTTGTAAACATGCATATTTTTAACTTATAACCAGCTTGCTATACATAAGCACTCATTTAAAAAACAATAAAAAATCAAACCAAACAAACGTACACACAACCTTACATGTCTTGATTCAATAGAACAAATGACTTGCACGCTTGGCCGAAATACGAACTGTTTTATTCTCAGGTGGCATCACGTTCCCTATTTTCGTTACATAAAATTCTATCAGTTTTTCTCCACAAGCATTGTAACATTTAGGCAGATTGAAATGACCCTGAGAACCATGCTAGGTATTGCGCATAGGAGTGGAAAAAAGATCAACAGGTGAAGGGTAATTTTGATAATTTACAAAACTTATCAAAACGGCAATTTTACAAGTCACGCGCGCAACATCACAGCCCAAAAAATGCGTTGTTATAAAAAAATTGTTACCTACTTTTTAACCTAGCCTTACGATCTTTAATATACGCTGTTGAATTAGTTCAAGAGTTTTTAGATTCCAGACCGTAACTTTCATGACAGTGACACAATGAAAAGTAGACTGCGTGACTTTAACCATTCTGCGTGGTAGCCAAATGTTTCCCTCCAGTACCTTAAACTGCTTATGAAAAAGACCCTACGGCCTCGTATCGCAGGAATGTTAAATGTGGTTGCAATGTTCACTGTCGGCTTTAACAATGTGAGAAAATCTACATACTGACTCCCATTGATTCACCCATTACCAAACAGAGAGGAATACAACGGAAACAATTTCTTATTTTAGGCGCAACATTGCACAGTAATGTGCACTTCATTTCGATAAAACTGACATCTGTGCTCGAACATGAGGACTAACGTTGAGTGTTTTTATGCGATACCTATGGGTGACACCGTAGTCGACGTGCCTGCTAAACTCAGGATAAACACCATTTCACGGTAGGAAGGGGGGGGGGGGCGTATGAACGGAAGTTTCTATGATCCTCTTCCTCCTCCTAATTCACCTTAAATACTCTTTCACTTCAAAAAGGCACATTGTCCTAATAGTTAGGGATTTGAGCAAGTGCTTTAACCCACTCCGAAAAAAATTCTCGCAACGAACCTGCTCATGGTGTACCCATGATTGCTCAAAATGCTTAAAGGACTCATTCCAACTCAAAACGATTGACTGTAAGCAATATAGTTTTGCTGTGTAGGCCAAAACTTGCCTACTGCTTTGCATCAAATCGACTCTCACAATGAGTTTGATCTGCCGAATTTTCGGATAAACACGTGTCGTATGTATACCAATATGCGTTAACGAAATCCAGTGGTTGTGGCCGTGAATGTCATGTTGCGGCAGGAAGGGTTAGCCCGGCCAACGTGTCCGCCAATTGTTCCACCTGAGCACCTCTTGAATGGTACGTGTCAGTGCAACATTTTAGTGAACTTTCATGTTTTCTATAGGCAGTGCATTGGCGTGAATATTTGTATTTTTCATGAAATTCTCTGTTGCATGGACAAATTTTTGCATTTAGAAACTTGGACTCAGTGCGTGAGTGTCGTACTGTCTTTTTGTATACCCATGTGTTCCTTCTTAGCATGCCATGACGACTGTTTCACAAGAGCAGGGAAATTGCGCCAGGCATTGCCGCCAACATTTTCTTATATACATTCAATAAATAAGAGCCCCATAATCAATCTACTTAACTGCAACTACGCCATACATTCTATAGACTTCATAAAGTTTGCGTTGTCTGAAAAATTATTGTTTTACTCACAGGCCCGCCACCTGGTGTCAGCTGGGCGAAAGCGAGTGGCCAAGGCCTTGATATGTTCACCGCACTTCGTGCTCACCATGTGTGCCTGCATCTTCCACCTGGCGGAGCCGGAAGTGTGTCTCATCATGTGCCGAAGAATTTTGACTGGTAAGTACGCATACACTTACGCAATCGCCAAGTACGCTCATGCATCCTGCAATGCCAATTGGATCAGGTGGTCATCAATCTACACTTGTGGTAGCTAAGCAGGTACGATGCTTTGCAGCCGAGCTCAGGAAAAAATCTCGTTAACAGCCCATGGTGAAGTGGTGAAATGAAGTGAAACTTCGCAAAATGAAGCTTTGCGCTAGTTGGTTTCCATTTATAAAGTACTAGAAGTGCGATGTTCTTCTCGGGAACGCAAAACAAGCGACACAAACAAGCGCTGACTGCACTTTTATTTTGCTTTCATGTTTCCACTTCGTTTTAAATGAATATCCAATTGATAGTCATCGTTTGTCTTCGTGGCTTCATTTGTGTCCCTGTGTAGAATATCGCGCTGTTCATAATTACTGGTGAAAGAAGGAGCACTAGTGTAGGCATATATTTAGAGATAACAGAGCAATGAAACATGCAAGAAAAATGCAAACAGATTAATTCGGTAACGGATGAGTTGCAAGTTTACCAGAAACTGCAAAAAGCCCCGAAATGATGAAGCAACACTGAGCTTGGCCGTCACTTTGCATGAAAACAAATAAAGAAACACGTAAAAACATCGTGCTCATGCGAGTGAAAAGATCTAAAAGCGTGAGGGTGATTGATGTGGAAGCATGCCGGCCAAACACTCGGTACTGCCCATGCAGAATGCCAGCCGGCGGCTGTTTCCTGTACATATGTGCAGATGGCGCTGTAACAAATTCTTTTCTTGGAACTCGCCTATAGCAACCGGTTTGCTCCCTTCAATACAGTGGGAAAATACTGGCGGGAACGGGAACAAAATTGGCAATAAAATATCAAGTGACAGTATTGCTGGATCGCAAGAGTGAAGCAATGAATGCGGGTGCAACAAACGCTACTTTGTCTGAAGTAGTAACGCCCCGCTGAGGTGGTGTAGGGGTTATGCACTCGACCACTAAACTGAAGATCGGGGGATCGAATTCCGCCTGCGAAGGGTGCACTTTCGATGGAGGAGAAAATTCTTGCAGATCAATGTGCTTAGCTTTAGGTGCATGTTAAAATACGCCAAGTGGTCGAAATTTCCGGAACTTTTCATTACGGCGTCTCTCATAACCATATCGTGCCTTTGAGATGTTACACCCAAGTATTTAACAATATTATCGCTCATGTACAACGCCCATTTTTTGCTCTTAAGTAGTGAAGCCGAACCGGAATTTCCGAGTTCTTTAACGTGGTAGCGAAAAAAGAAAGAAATTGAAAACAGCAAGTGTGCGTGGAAAGCGCAACATAGTCCAAACGAAAGCTGGAAAAGTCGCATTTCTAAGATCTCCATGTAAACTTTCCTAAAGTTATACCTTCCACACTAAGAAGCGTTTCTTGAAGGGCCACTTGGTACATGATACTGAGAGGAACAGTCCAAGAAACGGGACAGAGAAAGATTGAACACAAGACACAAGCGCTGTGTCGTATGTTCATTCTTTCTCCGTCTGATTTTTACGCTGTTCGCCTCAGTAACACTTAGATGGTACACGCAACGCTATGTCATAATTTTCGTCAAGCTGTCGTGCTTCTGCCGTGGACAGGGGTATAGCCGCAACACATTTGCGAGGTAATGTGTGCACTTGGTTGCTGCAGAAGCTAGTGACGGTTAACAATTATGACTGAGTCTTTTGTAATGTGGTGGAAGCATTCAACAATCCACTCGTTACGCAATTCGCACTCGAGCTGTCGCACGCGCGCGCGCGCGCGCGTGTGTCTGTGTGTGTGTGTGTGTGTGTGTGTGTGTGTGTGTGTGTGTGTGTGTGTGTGTGTGCGCGTGCGTGTGTGTGTGTGTGTGTGTGTGTGTGTGTGCATGCGTGCGTGCGTGTGTGTGTCTGCGTGTGTGTGTGTGATCGGGTGTTTTGCTGAGTGCACCTCTAATCATGTAACTCATTGGATTTCAGGTTTCCCTTTCCCACTAGTATTCGTCTTCTTGGGCATGTACAGCGGCTTGAGCGTTGCTCTGGACTTGGAAGAGTGGAAAGAAAAACCGCCGGTGCAAGAAAAGCGAAAGGCTTCTTCATCAACTAATTAATGGCGTCGGTGTTTAGCCATCTGCGTTTCTCGTTCACACAACAAATAAACGGCTCACGAATAAAAAATGGCCCCGAATTGTTTCAACAAAATTCTTACATGGTATACGCTCATGCGAGAGCTCTGCCGATTTATAGAAACTGAATTTGGGCTTATGCAACAGATTCCACAACATCATCAAGGTCACTGAGTCTTACGGAACGGGCATTTTCTTTGCATGGATAATGTTTTTCTATTGGTTTGAGTTTATTTGTTTGAGTAAGCTCGCCAAGGTTACTCACTCGCAACTATTGTCTTTTTCCCCGCATATTCTTACGATCCTTGTGGGCGCGCATACTACCTAATGATAGATGCAGCTTTGGCAGTAGGTTAGCGCTTAATAATTCTTTGTCCCACTGTCTTTTTATTCGAACTGTGTCTCATCTCTTACAGGCATATACTGACTGGCCCATATGACAACTGTAGTGCAATTAATTTTCCATCTTTTTTTACAAATACTGTGGGCGTCTGTTATTTGTATATTATATACTTCTTTCGCTTCGAGACGACAGAAGTGATGAGGTGGCATGCTGAAATTGCTAGTGTTACCGTCGAGATTTTTATTTCAAACAACGCATCCTCGAAGGGTACAGTTACGTATTGTTGCATCTATCATCGTCGGTTCCCGCTAATTGGTTGTAGTAGTATTTCCCTTTCGTGCCTACGTCTCCAAACCACAAACAACAAGCCCTTTTTCGCAAAACATGTTTTTTTGGGTGGCAAATATTGAATCTAAATGCCATCAGTGACGTTTTAAAACCAATAACGAACCAAGGATATTTAACTGGAAATTGCGTGAGCTTCAATGTGGCTGTCACTTTATCCCCACAAGTGAGGGTATGTCTTGGTTCTTTTTATTATTACAGCTGTGCGTTTCTCGACCGGTGATGCCTTCAGCCACGAATACCAACGGCTCTTGAAAGAATTAAAATAATAATGCGTGCACCGTGACTTCTATAGATCGCTTCGCTGGAACATGGCGCATATATCTGACTAAAAACATTATTCCAACACCTAAGATGACACGAGGGAACATATTTAGTCTCATGCTGACAGTTTTGTTTTATTTTAGTGAATTAGATTGTTATGACTACAGATTGTTAACCCAAGCATATTCTCAAAAACGCCATGTACATTGTCTTCCTTTATGAAATGGAACGCGCGATCGGGTGACTGGCTCTCTACAACGGCTGCTTACAGTATCTCGCCGCGCTTGATCAGCGGCCATAACCTGTTGTTTTATTTGCCGATAGATGCTTACAAAGGCCAACGTCATTTCTCTTGCGTTCGGTTGATGATGGTCTTGTAGGCAGCCGCCGCAAAGCACAGGCCAGGCGCTCACGTGTTCCCTTTCAAAAAGAACGACAGTGTACATTATTTCATATTGTTCAAGGACCGACCAATAAGGGAGCTTCAATATAAGTGCTAAACATATTGTTACACAAGGCGAGGTAAATTAATGTTACACAAGGCGAGGTAAAATAATGGGGGTTTTTTAATGGGCCCTGAGTCCGCGATCACAGTCTAATGATGATGATCACCGCCATGGCTCGTACCCACTCAGGGGGATCGCAGTGGAGGCAACGTCGTCTTCCTTCTCTGCCCACGCTTTCCTTGTTTTTCCCGGTAGTGATACTTTGTATCATTCCTCCTCTCTCAGACGAAGCCCTCTGGGCGAGTCATTCTTGCATCCTTGGTGTAAACGGCTTCAGGCGGGCAACATGCGTCACCTCCGTCTTGCATGAACGTCGGCCACTAGTGGTGACACGTGCAATTTCGTAGTTGACCTCGCTGACACGACGGAGTATCACAAAAGGACCGGCATAGTGTGCCAGTAGCTATTGGCTCAAGCCACGTCTGCGTATTGGGGTCCACACCCACACTAGATCACCGGGGGCATAGGTTACATGCCTGTGTTGACTGCCGTAGCGAGTTTTGGATGACTCTTGCGCTGCCAGTGTACGTAAGCAGGCAGGTCGACGGGTCTCTTCCGCACGACACAAGGTTTCAGCAATTGTTAAATCGTCATGGATGACAAAAGGAAAGATAGTGTCCAGCGTATGTCGAGGTGAGCGAGCGTAGAGCAGATAGAAAGGGCTATAGCCTGTCGTTTCGTGTTTCGACGTGTTGAAGGCGTACGTGACGAACGGTAATACTTCATCCCAGTTTTTGTGGTCAGAGGCGACGTACATTGACAACATGTTGATCAACGTTCGGTTTGTGCGCTCGGTGAGACCGTTAGTTTGCGGATGATACGCAGTTGAGTGTCGGAACTAGGAGGCACACAAACGAAGTAATGATTCGACAATATCAGCGGTAAATTGTCGACCACGGTCACTTATTATCACGCGAGGAGGTCCGTGTCGGAGGATGACTGAGTTCAACAGGAACTCCGAAACCTGGACTGCCGTGGCGGAGCATAAAACAGCCGTCTCGCAGTACCGCGTCAGGTAGTCGGCGCATACAATTATCCACCGGTTACCTTTTGAGGAGCGTGGAAATGGTCCCATCAGATCAATGCCGACTTTTTCAAAAGGGGAACCGGGAGGCTTTACAGGTTGCAGGTGACCAACTGGACCCGAGGAGGGCCGCTTGTGGCTCAGGCACTGCATACAGCTGGCCACGTAGTTCTGAATTGTTTTGCTCATTTTCGGCCAATAGAACCGCTCTTTCGTGCGACTAAGTGTTCGTGCGGTGCCTAGATGGCCAGAGGTGGGGTCATCATGCGTGAAACGCAGAACAGACGTTTGGAGGGACGCAGGAACAACCAGCAGAAAGCGGGCGCCCGTCGTGGACAAGTTTCTCTGGTAAAGAAGACCATTTCGGACGCAGAATCGGCCTTCGCTTAATGAATTTTTCGCTCCAGGGAAGAGAGCTTTCAAGCTTGGGTCATTACGCTGCTCAGCGGCGAAAGTCACGGCATCGGGAAAGCCAGACGACAGCGAAGCGATAAGGTGGTCAAAGTTATCGTCTTCACAATCTGTCGATGGTAGCGGCATTCTGGAGAGGCAATCCGCATCAGCGTGTAGACGGCCAGTCTTGTATGAGATGGTGAAGACATGTTCTTGCAAACGAATGGCCCATCGTGCGAGGCGGCCGGATGGGTCACGAAGGTTGATCAGCCAACACAGGGAATGGTGATCTGTGACGATAGTGAATGGGCGACCATAGATAAATGAGCGAAACCGTTGCACGGCAAAGACTACCGCTAGGCATTCCTGTTCGGTCACTGTGTAGTTGCGTTCAGGCTTGCTTAAAGAACGACTTGCGTACGCCACAACGTGTTCCTTCTTGCCAGAACGCTGAACGAGAACGGCACCGATACCGATGCCACTTGCATCTGTGTGAATTTCCGTGGGCGACGAAGGATTGAAGTGCCGAAGTATTGGCTGCGAAGTTAACAAACACTTCAGCTTGTGAAAAGCGGCATCACACTCGGAGGTCCACTGAAACAGGCTGTTCTTGCGTACAAGGCTCGTCAGGGGGTGAACCACATCCGCAAACTTGGGTACGAACCGGCGGAAATACGAGCAGAGTCCGATGAAGCTACGCAGTTGTTTCACAGATTTAGGACGCTCGAACGATTCAACGGCCGCGGTCTTTTGTGGGTCAGGTCTAATGCCATCTTTATCGACGAGATGTCCTAACACCAATGTCTGTCGCTCGCCAAAGTGGCACTTTTTTTAATTCAATACAAGGCCAGCTTTTTCAATGCAGCTGAGCACGAGGTCTAGGCGAGTGTTGTGCTCCTCAAACGTACGGCCAAAAATTACGACATCATCAAGGTAACACATACATATATGCCATTTTAAACCACGCAATATAGAGTCCATAAATCTTTCGAATGTCGCAGGAGCATTACATAATCCGAATGGCATAACGTTGAACTCGTAAAGTCCGTCGGTCGTAACAAATGCCGTCTTTTCTTTGTCAGCTGCGTGCATCGGAATTTGCCAGTAACCTGATCTCAGGTCAACAGATGAAAAGTAAGACGCGGAATGCAGGCAGTCCAGAGCGTCATCGATGCGCGGCAGTGGATAGACGTCTTTCTTGGTAACAGAATTCAGTCGGCGGTAGTCAACGCAAAATCTCCAAGTACCATCCTTCTTCCTCACTAGAATGACGGGAGCAGCCCACGGACTCGCCGATTCCTGTATTATTCCCTTTTCCAGCATCTCTTGAACTTGCTCGTTGATGATCTTGCGCTCCGATGGTGCCACTCGGTAAGGTTTCTGCCTAATGGGATGCGCCGATTCGGTGTGGATCTGATGACGTATCCGGGACGCTGGGATTAAGAGCCTTTGGCTGTATTTAGAAAAATCGAACACTTTCGAGTGCTTAGACAGAACGTCGAGCAGGGTATCACGTTTGCTTTGGTCAAGTGACTTGCTGACCATTTGTAGCAATTGGGCATCTTCTGAACCTTCTAAGCCTAGATGTTCATTTTAGCTTGTAGCATCAACAAGCGCAACCAGCGTCGTACATGACTCGGGTCTAAATACTGCAAGTTTCATGCCGCCTGGCAGAATTGTAGGCTCCATGGAACTGTTCATTGTCCACACACCTGCCCGTCCATCAACGACTGACACTATACAATGGGGAATGAGAATGTTCTTTTTCAGGCATGCCGAGGGAATCGGTTCGAGCGTGGCGTCAAACGTGCCACAGTTGTTACTGGAACATGTCACAGGAACACGCACAGCAGAAAATGCAGGAACGACTGTATCCACGAAGACGAAAAAGATGCATTCCTCCGGACAAGAATTTTCCAAAAGCGCCGTTGGGAAAGTACCGTGTATAGAAAGATGCCCACTTTTGCAGTCTAGAGTTGCCCCACACTCACACAAGAAGTCAATACCCAAGATAACGTCATGTGTAGACCGCGGAATAACCACGAACTCTGTGCAAAACACCTTGCCACACAGCGACACGTCCACAGTACAATATCCCACCGGGCACAACACGTCACCACTTACACCACGAAATGTCACCCCACGGTTCAGGCAAAAGATCACTTTTGGTCCTAGCAGGT